CAATTTAATTTGGGACAAGATTATGTTCAAATCAATATGCACAATACCGGTCGGTACAGTGCACCGTTGTGTCAGAAGAATCGCATATTAATAACTGTTATATTGCACATTATATTTTGTTTATATAGAATATTACACTTCGTAATACAAAAAAAAAAACATAATATAAATATTTAAATCAAAAAATATTACAACACTAAATATGTTTTCTATAATACGAAAAATATTTTGTCTATTATTCCGGTTTCGGCATTGTCTCGGTCGATTAAACCCAACCGACCAATTAATAACTATTTAATTTTGTAAACATGTAACGGTTTTTACAATGTGCTCGTGAATACACAATATCGTGCATATAATATATTGTTAATGTGCAATATATTAAACTTTTGATAAATAACAAAAAGTCCCACTTTTAAAATACCATGTAATAAAAGTTCAAAAATTGCACAAAAGCCCCTAGAAATTGTCTAATCTCCATCACAAAGCCCCAACACCCATTTTTTTTTTTTTAAAAAAAAAACAGAACAAATCTGTTATTACACGCACATGCACACATACAATACACACACATACACACGCACACCCGACTGCCGCCGCCTGCGCCATCGCCGGCCGTCTTTTCCGGTCAGAGACACCGCCGCCGTGACCTCACGACCTGGAGACAGGTATCAGTCACCGGCGAGAAGCTATGGCCGTAAATGCCGGTCCATGTCTACCGTCTTATCCGGATAGAGCCGTCGCCGCCGTCCCGTCGCAGACTGAAAGCAAGCCTCCGTCGCCGGCAAGGAGCTGCCGTAGTGAACGCCGGACTCGTGGTGGCGCTCGACGGCATAATGACCGCCGACGACTGCGGCTATCTGGCTGACAGCGGCGGCCGTGAACGCCGGGACCGTCGTTGTGGCTGCGCCGAACGGCGGCGTCGGAGGCGGTGTTGCGACGACGGTTGGCTAGGTGAAGGCAACTGCGAGTTCTGGCTCTGGCGGAGCTCCAACCATCGACCGCCGTGCGTGGTGTATGTGTGTGTGTGTGTGTGTGTGCGCATGTGTGTGTGTGTGTTGGGATAGATCTGAGATGTGAGAAAGAAATAGAGATTGTGATAAAGAGAAGTAGGTGAGGTGGTTAATTGGTGAGTGTGTCCCACACAAATATAAATGTGTATTGACCACATTACCCTTAATTATTGGTCAATTGTACATATTTGACCCACTATGATCAAATAATTACCACATTGCCATTAATGATTGACCATAGTTTGACTCCATCTTAACCATTGATATAATTCATCCCATGGACCAGATCTATTCTTATTTCTTTCACTATCTCACTTTCTCATTTGATCCCATCTCTCTCTCACTCTCGCTCTATATATATATATATTGGTTTCAATGAGGAAACCTTTTTAAAATGAGTAGTGAGATTCAATCCTAACCATTAGATATGTATCAAGATGTGTGACTAAGATTTAACTCTTTATTTAAATAATAATTATATATTTTTTTATTTTAATTATATAAATATTATTTTGACCGTTGACTATTGACTCCGACATTGACCGTTGACTTTTGGCGTTGGCTGTTGACTTGCCGCATTGACCCGTTGACCTCAGTATGCATTATGTATGAAATAAATATGCATTCAACACTATGCACGTAATATGAACTAAATATGCATGAGGTATGAACTGCATATGTAATCCTTATGAACTAAATATGTGCCAACAATATCAACTAAGTATGCACTTTTATGAATTAAATATGCACTTGTTATGAACTCAATATGCATCATGAATGAACTAAATATGCAGCAACACTATGCAATAAAAATTTTGTATAATTAATTTAAATTTCAATTGATTACTATAAATCATTGATCCACACAAATAAATAGCTATGATTGGATCTCACATGAACTAAGTATGCACTTTTGATGACCTAAATATTCATTTCGTATGAACTAAATATGCATAATGAATGAACTACATTATGCAACAAGTAGATATCTATATCTATATATATATAATAAGAATAACCATTTACTAAAAATAGTAGTAAAATATTTTGCAAGCATTTAATGCATACCTTTTTTTGGAAACTTTTTAAATATATGCATTAGTTGATTCTATATACACGTTTTTAAATAAGATCAAATCAGATATGATAAAAAATATTATTTTAAATAATTTTATTAATATCTGCAATAATTTCATTCATATTCATTATAATAACTTACAAGGTCGATATCCCGTGATTCATGTTGATAACATTTTGATCAAGATAAATATTACAACATATTTTAAATTTTAACCATAATATTAAAATTTTTCACAAATATTCATTTTTTATCCAAAATATTTATAAAAAATTGTGACATGTTAGTTAGAATTTTTCCTTCCAATTAATCAGACGAAATCAAGTTAGTGAATTAATCTTTGCCAATATAATTTTTTCTTAAGCTTCATTTCATTATATATAGAAAATAAGTTATTCTTCAAATTAATATAATTTACTATTTAAGTGATATAATATATTAATTATTTTACAAACTAGCCCTAACATGCTCATATTTAATGTTCGGACTAAAAAAACAACGCTGATTAAAAGATATGGAAAATGAATTATAACCCTATTGTTTTTTGGACTTAACGTTGATTAAACGAGGTAGAAAAGATGATAACATTGTTGCTTTTTAGACTTAAACGGACAGAGCTTGTGAAAATAACTCATTTAATATCTCTGTCTCGTGCATCGCATAGGGTACGTACTGGTTTAATTTAAATATAAAAAATATACACTATGAATGAACTAAATATGAATTTAATATGCATCTGTTATAAACTAAATATACATCATGTTATGAATGAACTAAATATGCATCATGAATGAACTAAATATGCAAAAACTTTCTCTCTCTACGAGAAAAATCCCCCAATTCAAAAACCCTCGGTCTTCGGTAAATTGATCGGCGCTCGCCTCTTCACCGGCGGAGGTCTTCTTCCCCGGCGAGCTTGGGGGAGGCTGGGGTGTCGGTTTTCTGGTGTTGTTCCGGTGGTGGTCAATCGGGAAGCTGTTGAGTCGATTGGTCCAGATCTAGTTAGCCGTTAGGGAGTTTCTAGATCTTGTGTGGGCGGTGGGCTAGATTTTCTCGGTTGATCATCTTACGCTCGGTGCTTGTTTGGGGCGACTGGAAGAGGCTCGACAGTTGGTGAAGAGAGCTTAGTATATTATTTAGGTTATGTCTATGTTTGTATTATGTTGATTGTGTTCGTAGATTGTGGTTTTTGGTTTGGGCCGTTGGCCTCTGTGCGCCTGAGTGCCCGAGTGTCACTCTATTATCCTGTTGGAATCCGACACTCGGGTATTACTCTGTTGGGGTCTTTTTTTAGTTTCCTAGTGTCTTTGTGTTAGTGTTTTTGTGTTGTCGTGAGTATTATCCCGTTGGGGTCGGCTCTAGGCGGTCCTTGAACCGTCCTCCCATTTTATTTAGTCATTGACTGTTTGTATTCAACTGTTGGCTGCGTATATTCAGCTGGTGGCTGTATTTTGCACATTTGTGCTTTTAATATATAAAATCTCTATCGCTTCGAAAAAAAAGAATGAACTAAATATGCATCATGTATATATTTAATATAAATATAACAAATATGCACTATAGATGAACTAAATATGCACCATGTATATATTTAATTTAAATATAACAAGTGGATGAACTGAATATGCACTTGATATAATACTTTTTAATATATAATTACTGTAATACGTAAGCATTTTTAGTCCATTCATACGCATATTTAGATAATAAAAAATGCATATATAGTTCATCATAGTGTATTTTTACTACGTTTAAATTAATTATATACATAATGCATATTTAGTTCATTCATTATGCATATTTGTTCATACGAAATGCATATTTTGATCATCAAAGTGCATATTAGTTCATGTGAAGTCCAATCATAGCTATTTATTTGTGTAGATCAAGGACTCATATTAATCAATTAAAATTTACTTTAATTATATAATAAAAATTAATAATCATTAATTATATTTAAATTAGTTGTATAAATGCACATTTAATTGAATATTTTCACAGCATATTTAGTTCGTGCAAAATGAACATTTAGTTCATACTTACTGCATATTTAGTTCATAAACAGTGCATAGTACTTAGTTGATATTATTGGTGCACATTTGGTTCATAAAGACTATATATTCATTTCATACCAAATGCATTATTAATTTATATCAAGTGCATACTGTTGAGTGCATATTTGCTTCATACATAATGCATACTAAGGTCAATGGTCAATGCCGGAGTCAACGGCCAACGGTCAACTGTCAAATGGTCTAAATAACATTTAATAATTAAAATAAAAATAATAAAAGGTTAAATCTTGGCCACACATCTTAATTCTATTTAATAACGAGGACTGAGTCTTACATACCCACTTTAAATAAGTGGACTATAGATATGGATTGGTTGAGTCCGCTTATTTATTATTGAATGATAGATTGAATTTTACTATTTGATAATTCATTATGCAATATAATTCTTTTTTTTTAATGATTAATTAATAATAATAATGTAAAAAAGTGAATGAACATATAAATATAATATAAAATCATAAAAAATATTAATCATGCATCACTTGCATCGCATGTGCATTTTACTGATTTATTGCAAAATGAATCAGGTAGGATAAATCTAACAAGGTGTTGGACGCGTATAAATTTTTAACAATGAAAACGATTCAATTTGCTACCAATTAGCTTATTTAACTCACTTTGTTACTTCGAATTTAATTTTATCAATTTTAGTATCTCGAATTTGATCATCTAATCATATTTAATTAGTACCTTTCGTTCATAGACCAACGCTTGTTTAAGTCTGATTTGTTATTTTATTTGAAATTGATAACAACGTACAAATTTTATGATAATCATACAGTATCGAGTTGACTATGATTAACAGATATAAGAAAAATATACATAATACATGCATTAAAAACTAAAGAACACCATTAGGATAAATTCAACGGTATGGAATATAGTGAAAACAAGATAATACGAATACAAATGCATGATACATTATGATATTTGAAGGCATTATTATTTGGAAAAAAGTATGATTGCCTACCTAAGTAGCCACGTAGTGTGTAGAGAAACTTGTACATATTACATTTTGATTTATTTGAAACGCATGAAATATTAAGAGCTACGCGTAACGTTTGAGGTAGTCTTGGACTGTAGTGTACTTGACCTCTGGATACAGTTGTGATGCTTCTTCGTCTTCTCCTATCTCGAAATTTGTCAAACATCCTTCATGATATACATCGTGGTAATGGCTTAATCCCACTTGTTGTGCATAGTCAAGATCTGCAATATTCAAAAAAATTGAATTTTGTACTCAAAATTGAATTTTGAAAATTCACAAAACTAACTACGTACTGCTGAAGTTATGAGTATTTGTTGACGAAGAAAAAGGAAAAGATTACTAAGTTCTAAAAAGCATTTGAGTTTCATTTGACATTTCGAATCGTTAATTATTAGCCTAGAAGAGTTTCTTGACGTGGGTAGATATTTTTCTAGTATACACATTTTGTTCAAAAAGTATGCTACTTTAGATACCCGTGTAAGTTTCGTTCAATCTCCTTCGAATAACTCATATCAATATTTTATTTTATTTATTTATTTATTTTTTTCTTGTGAAACTCTAACTACCTTTGATGGAGGCTAAAAGATCTTCCTTGGAGAGGGTAGTTTTGTCCAGTTCTTTTCCAATAAGCTTCTCCCAAATCTGCACAACTTGTCTCTGTGAAAGAATGTTCTCTGGTGGCCTAATATAAATTGTCTTGTTGAGCGTCCTCGGGTCTTCTATGCTCTTTATGACGTAAGCAGCTATGTCATCCTCTGCTACAAATATTGCTACACAGGACTCATCAAACAAAAACAATTTTTATTAAATTATTCATTGCGAAATTAACCCATGAATTAATTGCAGCAAAATATACAAATTTTAAATGCTTAAATCAATCGTAATTAGATCGATCGTTTTATTATAAATTAATAAATAATAAGTGAATGAATATAATAACGTAAGCTGATGATTACCTTTTGTGTTGCCATCTCCATGTATGACAACGGAGTCCCTTGAAGGAAGTATTTTCCCAAATTGGCAAAGCCCTCCAACCATATAGCCTGCAAAACAGTTAGCCGAAACGTAAGTGAAAGGTATCCCACTCTCTTCAATGGCCTTCCTCACAGCCATTTTCTCGTCGAACATCACTTTTCCAGGTTCGGTGGCGCTCCCCATTCTAGCTGGGTCAGTCCCAAACTCCGAAGGCAAAAATCTCTGTCGCAAATTAATCACAAAGTTAATTAACTGGAGAAAAAACGAAACGAAATATGTATAATTATTGGAATATCAATTGTGAGTTATCCCATAGGGAAAATGAGCCTAGTATATAAGTCTAGTGAGTTACTCCTCCATCGCCAATCAGTTTTGGGATGGAACTTCACTATGATACATCTAGGCTCACCCTCTTATGGTGCGTTTTATCTGGTGGGACCGCACTCTCCTCCCCGGATTCTATAAATCTAATAATAATAAAGAATAAAATTGATGAGGTGTATGAATGCATGTTGTTACGTACCTTAACATTTCCAGCTTCTTTGATGGCCTCGATAAGTCTGAGCTGGAGCAAAATTGAGTTGCTTCGAATGTTGACCCCAGAAACGGCACTAATGACCACGTCCACTAGCTTCACGGCCTCCACAAGGCTCTTGTGGTCGTTAAACGAGCCCGGGACAAGGTGTGCTCCTAGCAATTTGAAAGAAATTAGCATCTCCACTTTCTCTATGTCCACACCAATTTCGGGCCTATGGAGAACATAGGTTTCATGGCCATGCATTAAACTTGCTTTCACCACTCTCTTCCCCAGGTACCCTGTCCCTCCTATCACAAGCACTTTGCTTTTTCCCATCACCTCTTTTTTTTTTTGTTGATATCTCGAAGAAACAATTTGAAATTGGAAAAAGTTATGAGATTGTATGTATGAAGGGTTTCATTCATGACATATTTATAGGTACAAGACTACAAGTCTATGTATTAATATTTATTTATTATTACTATGATTAGATGTGATGATGTATGATGTTTGAAACTGGGGTGCGGAAACCTGATCCTTTAATAATGTTTGATATTATTATATTATTGTGGACTATATAATTAGTTGGACCTAATTGAATTAATAGTTAAACTTAATTAAGGTGAATATGTATTTAATGGATTATTAATAATGTTCTAATATTAAAGAGCCTAAATTGTGATGTTTGACTTAGATAGTAAGTTAGGTTAGAACATGAGGAATGTTAGTAGGATTATGATTGTAGGTCTCCTCCTATATATATTACTACATGTCTGTTTGTTATGTTTTTGTGCTTATTTTCTTGTGTTTATGTGTTTTAGTAGAGTCGTTTTTAGGTTTGGTTTTGTGTCAACCGGTTAATTTTGTCGTATTTTATGTGTTTTCGTTTTGTGTTTTTGTATTCCGACGTATTTTCTTGCATATTTTTGGTGTTGTTTAGGTCCTATATGCATGACCGGGAAGACGAGCTATTTTTGGTGACATTGCCAAGTCATTGACCGAACCAAACGAGCCATCATCCGTGAGAAAAAGCCAAGAGTCGCGTCGGGAGCTCGCTGCGAATCCATGTTCGCGAGGCGCGAGAGTCGTGCCCATGCACTTGCACCATTGCCCACACTCGCAGCCAACACGGATTGGCGACGCGCGATATGGCCGCGAATCGCCCATCCAGCAGGGCGCACTCACAGCGAATCACAGTTCGCGTGCCGCGAACAGCACGCTCCAGCACCTCATCCGCGGCACTCGCTGCGGACATGGTTTGGCGCCGCGCGAAACGCGCACCCAGCAGCTCCAAGTGCCATACTCGCTGCGAACTTCCTTTCGCGACCCGCGAAGTGTGCGTCCCCAGCGCCTAGGCACCACACTCGCAGCGAACATGCTTTCGCGCCGCGCCAAACATCGCACCACAGCACCCAAAGCCCGAGCTCGCAGGGAAACTCCGTTGGCAACCCGCGGACGCCCGTTTCTGCACTACTCCATGGGCAAACTCACTGCGAACCCCGTTTTGAGACCTGCGAACTTCATAATTTCATTAAATGTGTGTGTTTTTTAGTGTGTGTTTGTGGTGTAGCTATAAATAGACATTGTGCTTTGTAATTTTGGACACCACCCTCATTTTACTCTCCATTTTCTCTCTTCTCTCTTTTTTTAATTTTGCTTTAGTTGGGAGGTCCATGACTCTATTTTTCCGGCAAAATTCCGGCAAGTTTATTTTCATCCAAGTTTCGAGCTTTATTCATTATTTTCGTCCAGGCACGTGATAGGAGAGTAAGTACCTTGCTTAGGACTTACTACTTCGAGTTTGTTTCTTTCGATTTTGTGTTTATGCTCGTTTCTAGGGTTTTGCTTTATTTTTATTGCTTGCTTTTGTGTGTTAGGAATCAATACGTGTTTATCTAGTATAAAGGTTTCGACTTTGTTCAAAGCGTGATGATTTAGTGTAGAAAGCTCGTGTTCGGATACCTAGGATCACTATGCTCGCATGTTTTCTCTTGATTTCTTTTATTTTCTTGAGTTATGGAGATTCCGTGCAACCAATGTTTTGATCTTTCTTTCGATTCTCGCATTGTTCATCATTTGCTCTTAGATTATTAGTTTAATTTCGTGCAATCATCCCCAATCAAGCGAGTAGAATGTGTAGGGCCTTGTTCTTGGTTATGTGACTTTGACGACTAGGTAGTGGACAAAGCTTCGAATAGCCTTCCTTTGAAAACGTTCCGAGTCTGGGTTGCTCGGTTACCACTTACCCAAAAATACTACAAACAATGCCCCTCTCTCTCGGCTCATACGAAAATAAAGTTCTGAACATCAAGGGGTTTATGAAAAGACGAGAGATGCGGGAGAGAAAAACAATTCAAAGGCAAAGACAAATCCATTATTGGAGATCACGAGGAAGAGGATCGCAAATCAATATCATAGATCAAAAAAACATGGAAGGACTATAAGCTGGATTCTTCAACATCATTGATCAAGAAAACAAGAAAGGACTATAAGTTGGATTCTTGTAAGTTCTATGTGCAATTTAATTTATGCAAAGATCCATATTCTATTAATTGATAGAATTACATGCGTAGGGTTTATTCAATTCCGCCTAATAGTTATGAATATGCCCATTAAATTTCTTACAGATCCAACATCGAGTACATTTCCAAGACTTCGAAATAATCTAAATTAGTGACAAAATGAGAATATATATGTATAGTTGTATGCACACACTAGTAAATTGCACGTGCGATGCACGTGACATATAATTTAAATTTCCATGTGATTCTAAGATATATTTTTTTTATATTTTTAAGATTTATTCGATTTTTCGCATTATAATTTTTAATCATTGTTCTAAAAATCGGCTTAGGTGGCGCCTAGGCGCTAGGCGGTGTCCGGCCACCTCCGATTTGCACAAATCGGCCAAAAAAATCGGCCAGGCAGCTAGGCGGGCCTAGACGCTCCTAGGCGGACTTGGCGGGCTCAGCGGCAGGCGGTTAGGCGGCGCCTAGGCAGGCATAGGCGGGCTCGGCGATAATTTCTCAGTTTTTTTTTTTAAATACTAATTACATTATTTTCTTCTCATGTTTTCTTTAAAATATATTAAATTAATATTATTATTTGGACTTAGGTGTGTGCAGGGGCGGACGCAGACTTTAAGGATAATGGAGACACAGATAACGGTCAACGATCAACTGCGACGGTCAATACCGAATTTCAACAATCAAATCAATATCAATAGTTAACCAATTAAAAAAATAAAAATATTAAATATTGACCAGACACTTTATTCCCTCTTTAATAGTTAGGGTTGAGTCTCACATTCTCATTTTAAGAATAGGAATACATTTGATCCAATATATACATTTATGTATTTTGGGAGAGAAAATGACATAAACAAGAAATTGAGTATAGCATAAGCATAAATTTTACGAATTAAAAAATTACATACTATTAAAGATTAAATGACTCTAGACATTTCTTTTTTATTTTTTTATATTAAAATGACTTTACATAATAATTAATAACATGTATTTTTTATGTCAAAATAATAATATATATACATATAGAAAATCTACAGGGGCCCGTGCCCCTACGGGCCCCTATGTAGATCCGCCGCTGGGTGTGTGAATTTATAATAAATTGTGATAGTTTTATTTTGTAGGTGGTTAAAATAAATAAAAAAATAAGATATTTAATATTAATTTCTAGACCCCGACTAGGCGCTGCCTAGGCCCCGCCTAGACACTCTAGGCGCTAGGCACTGGTCGAGCGCCTAGCGGGTGCCTAGCGACTTTTAGAACATTGTTTTTAATCAATATATCAAACAAAGAAAGTACATTATCTAATAAATGTGTTAGACAAATTACAGTTTTCAAATAACAATGAAAGATTGTATGAAAATATTTGTTGACAAACCTTCATTACTCTCTAAGTTAATCTTGTTTGTTCGAAACCTTTTTAGTTTGAGGAAGATTGAAAATATGGACACTACAACTAAATTGAAATCTTTTACCAGAATAATTGTATGTGATAGTTTATAAATTTTTCTTCTTATCTTATTGAAAAAATAATTCTTTACCATTATTTTTACTAACTAAACATAACAGTTATAGTTCAATTGAAATATGTTAGCAGAAATTTTAAATATGATTCATATTATCTTATATTTTTAGTGACATATTTTTCATATACATTTAGAATTGTAATAAATATATATAATAATACTTTATACTTAATTTGTATGTTATGAAAAAAAAAATTTATTATAATTCATTGTGATACATAATGGTTATTACCATTTTTCCATTAAAAATAGTATAAGCATTGAGACTTTTTAATCGGTGCAATTTCTTATAAAATCATTCTTTATTTTATAATAGTATAAATGTAGATATAGATTGATAGATACATTTTATAATAGTATAAATATAAATATAGATTGATAGATTCTATCGTTCCGGTAAAAAAAAAAAAGATTGATAGATAGATATGTATGAGTGGACCCCATATTATTTTCACGCATTCGTCATTACTTGCACCCATAGTTTTAAACCTGACCCGATAATCGACCTGGCAGGTCTCCGGGTTACTAGTTCAACCGGCGGGTTATCGGATCAATTACTAAACTGAATAATTAATTTTAAAATTTTTAAAATTATATATGGAGTATTTTTGTCATATAAATATACACAAAAGTAGAAATTAAATGTTTTGTGTGTAAAATTTGTACATTAAAGTGTTAATAATATGTATCTCATGATAAATATTTACCATATAAACATATATACATAGTTTTATTTTTAAAAAACAAAAAATATAAAAAAAAAAATATATGAACCGGGTCAACCGGGTTGACCCGGCCGGGTCAATGCCCCGGTCGGCCGGATCAAGGCTGGGTTGGTCGGGTTTTGACCGGGTCCTTTGTTGCCCGGTCCAAATAGCCCACCCAGACCGGTTCCGGCTCCGAGTCAATTGGATCCCGGGTCAACACGCCGGGCCGGTCCAGGTCAAAAACTATGCTTGCACCATCCTGGTGTATATTATTATTATTATTATTATTATTATTATTATTATTATTATTATTATTATTATTATTTAGGAATAAGGTTAGTAGTCTTATTTAAAGGGTTCCTCATCTATTGTTTTACTCAGTTGATTATGAATGAAAATATGAATTGATTGTGAGTTTTATCGAGAGAGTATCTCGTTTATCCTTCTCACTCGTACGCTTCCCTACATCAGTTGGTATCAGCAGTCAGTAGCGATGCAGCCGGGACGACAAGATGCCACAAACGAACGACGTGAAGCAACCTTCAACGATCGGTTTCAATAGATCGACTACCGATTTGAACAGTTGGACGTGCGTTTCACGGATTGGTATGCAGATCTTTCGACGGGGATCGAGGATTTGCGTTTGACGCTTAACAACGTGGT